CTATTAAAGTCATTGGGTAGATTTCAATGGTAATGTTTATCACCTCTACTAATTAACGTGATATAACTTTTTATGCTTCCTCCTCAAATATAATTCATTTTTTAAAATTTGTTGATTTTTTTGTGTGTATATCACACAGAAAATCCCAAACCATCTTATTCAACTGTACACCCACTTCCCATTTTAACTATTCTTATTCAATGATAAATTATACTATTCATATCATTTTATTGACTAACAAATGTAGTTGCAAAAAGTAAATTAAATGCATTTGCTGTCAAAGAACACTGCATTTATGTTTAGTACTCATTACAAATGTGGCTCATTGATTAAGCTCTTCTTAATTAAACTGCAAACACAAAGATGAATACTACGTCTGTCTTCTCATCAGTGCATCCCAAACTTTAGGATCAGAAATATTACACAATAGGGACAAAGAAGTATTTTCTGAAAATGAGAAATGGTGTATTTGATTCATTAAACACCACAGAAAAATCTACATGACCATATAATCTAAAATGATAGGCCAAGCTTGGCAAGGTGGTACATGCCTTTATTCCCAGCACTCTGGAGGCAGGGCAGGTGGATCTCTATGAGTTCAAGATCAATCTCAAAGAAAAAGATAGGCAAAAGGAATGACTAAAGTTATAAAGCGCTAGAATAATGCATATTTCCTTTTATTCTTTCTCTGTTCTAAGCATAATAGCTCTGGTATTTTGTGCTTCCTTTCTCTTTCTCTAAATCTCCCCTCCCCACCATCCTGCTGCCTCTCTTCAAGTGGTTGACCTCCATTCTGGCTTAACTCATTCTTTTTTATGCTCTTCTGGGCAGCTGCTGAAATTTACTGCTTTCTTGCCTGGAGATTAAAAAAAAAAATTTAAAACTCTAGTAAACTGTTTTTGTAAGTTTCTGGTATAAATGTGTAACTTTCTTAAACAAACAAACAAACAAACAAACAAAAACAAACACTCTTAAAGGTGAATGAGAAAAATATCTAGAAACTTCCTTGAGTCCCTTGAGATTACTCGATTCTGCATAGATTTATTATTCTATGTTACGTTGGAGGAAGCCACATTTTGCCAAAAAATGTTGACTAAAAAAAAGAAACCTCAAAACAAACAGAAAACAAAACAAACAAAACAAAAAGCCCCACAAAAGTCTAGTAAATGGTCCTTGAATTAGAAAAAGTGAAATTGAAGAAATAAATAAAAATGAGGGGAAAATCCAAAAAGGGCTATGAAATTTGGAAGGTACATATGTAATTATGAGGAGAAAAATTAAAAAGCTTACTACAAACGAAGTTACAACTTTATGAATTATGACTGTATCTTCCTAGGTTCAATTTGTCCCTATTTTTACCTTGTAGATTGCTACAAAGCCTTCTTTATGTTCAAGTAATTTTGGAGTCTCTTAATTTAAGACTATTTCTACTTTTATTTAACAGCTTTGGAAATATAAATAATTGTATATCCTCTTCAAATAAATGCTTTAGTGTACTTTAATGAAGTCACTTCATAACTCTTTAAAATCCTTTTCAACTAATTACAAGTTATCAATGACATGAATATTGCAACACTCAGTATAAATAACAAAGGAAAACAAAAAATAAAATTCTGTTAGTCTTAAGTACTAATTGTCACATCACACTACAAAATGACGTTATGTCTCCATGTTAAATTTTGTTGCTGCTCAGGTATCTATGAGACTCTTCCATCTGTCAAGCTCAAAAATTTCTCTTAAATTTGCTTATATTTTACAGAACACTTACCAAATATTTTATGGAAGATGATCAGTTCATACCAATCTATTCTGAAAAGTGATAGGAAAAAATGTATACCTTTTATCATTTTTATGTCATCAAAATTTTTGCTTTTTAAGCTTTTTGTAGGATATTAGATCCTTCATTTAATCTTCATTGAGTACAGAATGGTTCATTACAACATAAATCTATTACAAAATATTACACGTCTGTTTGATTGTATAGTACTGTTTATTTACA